ATATTACCTTGGGTACCCCCTGGTAGCCCTGATCTGGGTGACTAACATATCCAAAATTTACCCAGATCGGACTGGGGTTCGGGAGTTAGGTGGAGGGTGTAATTTGACCGACCGCACATGAGGTGGTATCCGAAAAGGGCTCCATGTGTTTTGGCCTTGCAGTCGGTCTCTGTTTGGGAGTTAAAAGACATAGAAATACCTGACAGCTAATCTTCCATTCGTATGAATTCCCTTGTTCGGGACATTGATTTTACCGAACGGGGGGCTGACTAGTCCCTCCGTTCGGGAGTTATGGAACTCTGGAGGTCTCAGCGGTGTTCGGTTGTTTAAGTGTCTAATTTGAGTTCCAGACACTCGATGACCAAACCCCGCTGAGATTTTCATGCGTAAGATGGCTGCCGCACGTGGTTCGCATGCCGAACGGCGCCCACACAGGCACATACAATATATCGATTAGGCTGCGGTTTGCAGAGTGTGAACGCTTAACGAGGCGCACACTTCTCACTGGGGTGGTCTGATGGTTCGGTAGTTTCATTTGTATGAAACTACCGAACAATCATATGAAAACTTCATACATTTTACAGACATACAGGGAAACAATTACACAAATAAATTTTCAATACGAATTCCTAAGGACAGTCTTAAGGACAGTCTTAACACAATCTGCTACAAGTACTATTTACTTTAATGATTAGATCATGAATAATATTCCAGTACTTTGTAAGTTTTGAGCAATACCACCATATATGAGCCATATTTCCCAAACCCACAGTCCGCCCAGCACCGATCAGAATACATATAATTCATGTTGTGCTGCCTTTATGGGGCCAGGTACCACCGGCATAGAATTTTGTAGTGATTCTCAAATTGGTCATTACAGAAAGAAATCCCTTTCAACATGTTAAAAAAACTGAACCACTCTTCAAGCTCGTATTGCGTGCCTAACTCTGACTCCCAAGATACCATATGTTTCAGTTTGTCCGTAGGTTTGGTATTACACAATGAGTAACATTTAGATATTGTGTCCTTACAATGTGGAGTATATAAAACAATTTTTCTAATGTTGTTAATTCTAGGGATTTATAGTTTTTCTCAGTATTTGGGATGTTGTATATTTCTTTAAATTTTTCAATAATAAACATGCATTAATCCTTGTGTTCATTCGCTATTCCCTGTCTAAGTTTTAATTTCTCAAATGAAAGAATGGCATTGCCATGAAAAAAATGATCTATGTGAGTGATATGGTGCTCGTTCATTAAATCTAGATTCAAAAAGGGTTTATGATCGTTCAATAATTTAATCGGCATTGCTCTGTACACTTTTGCAGCATAGTTGTTGTTTTTAAAAACGATGTCCCAAGCCTTGAGGGTGGTTTTTGTTGGTAAAAATAGCTTAGCGGTTCTAGGCCTCTCTTTAGGATTTAGCCTGGGCAATTCCGTAAGTTTAAACGGGTGAATATTTAACTCTTCCATCTGCATCCATCTTGGCTTACTAGAGTAGTTATTAAAGCTCGCCACCATTGCAGCATTAGTAGCAAAGTAGTACTTGTGGATATCCGGTACTTCCACACCACCATCGAATTTGTGATGCTGCAGGGAAGCGAGCCTTATCCTTATCCTTTGTTCCGCCAAATAAATTTTAACATTACTGAGTGCGTTTTGTTGAAAAAAGATAATGGAATAGCTAAAGGTATAGTTCAAAAGTAATATAAGATTTTTGGAAGACTTGTCATTTCAATAAATGCGATTATTCCTAGCCATGATAGTTCCATCCCGCCCCATCTCTCCATCTCTTTTTGCAGATCCGACCATGCTTTCCTTAAGTTATAAATTTGTATATTTACCAAATGTTTGCATAAATTAATGTCTATGTAGTCATTTCTCCAGTCGAACATATACAAGCCCTTGAGAGTGTTAAGTTCTGAGTGATTTATATGGAATGGGAGGGCCTGAGACTTGGACTCATTTAATTTGTAAAAGTCCATTATTGCAACAGAATTTTGGAAATCAGCTAAAACTTACAAAAACAGACTCCCCCCTTTTTTTCTTTCTTAAGACTACAACTCATATTCCTCTTGGACTAGTATTCAATAATAAATCAGTTATTTAATAGATTATTACACTGCCATTCCCATCTGTATCAATACTGAGACAAACTTATTCAAATATAATTTAAAATAACACAGCAAAATACCTATTAACATACATGACAATTAAACTGCACACTTCAAAATGAGTAACCAAAACACACATTTATCACAATCACCATTTACACAGAATAAACTTTTAACAGCTGTATTCAGAACATATTATTGTAAGGTATACCAAATTTTAGTTTGTATCAAATTTATTTAAGAGTTCTGGTACCAAAGGGTTTCTTTTTAAAGAAGGGATCCCGTACGGCCATATAATGCGTTTGACTTAAACATTTGTATAACACTTGCATTAACCAGTTGCAACATATGTACCCTGTCAATAGAATTTCTCTCTTATACGCTTGTAGAACATTTGGACCAGTTTACTCAGACATGGTATCACCTGCATTTGTCAGAACTCTCAAAGACTCAAAATATTTATACTACTCCATGTTAAAGGCATGGCAAAATTTTGACCGGTCAATTTGAGTTCCCCAAAGTCATATCAATACAGGTAAAAACCTTTGTCCATGGTTTTCTGATTTTACATTTCATGACCAAAATTTCAAACCCAATTCTGCACAGTTTGGGTCACAATCAATAAAATCTCAGCATCCCCATACAACAATTTATAGAATACATACAATTTAAAGCACATACAACATGTGATGTACTGGAATACTACAAGTTAGCTAACAGCACAAAATGAAGCATGTGTTGGACCACTGAAAATATAAATTTTGCTCTCTAATTTATAATCATCTACATTTACAACTTAAATTCTCTGCAACAAATACACAAGGCAGAAAGATTGTGGTGTTTGACGTTTTGAATGAAGTGACTTTTTGTCCCAATATGAAAATAAAGGGCTCATCATATTAACAATCATACATCCCACTCTCATGAAAAAGTGTAGTGGGCTTATAGTACTTTTGTCCAAGTATAAAAATAAAGAGCTCATTATGCAAACAAACATACATGCAGAGAAATCATGTTAGTTCTAGAATTTGTAGCCCCCCTTAAATAACCTCTATTTTTTTCTCTTATTCATCATCACATTTACATGTACTTTTGACATTCCCTCAATTAAGACTTTATACTTAAAATCAGCATTGCACATCATAAAATAGCACATAAATTAGCAAGCTGGAGTAATGCCAAACATCCATCATATAGGGTTTAAAAATGTTCCCTTTTAACCCCTTTTTTTTTCTTTCTTTTTTTCTAAACCATTTAGTCTGCAAAACCCACATGTACATTACATGACATGACATGACAGCCTGCCAAAGGCTTGAAAATCTTTTTACCACCTGCCAAAGGTGAACCTCGACCAAAGAGGGATTGTCTACCATAGACAATTGTGCACAATACTGCCTGCCAAAGGCTTTCCTCCAACCCAAGAAGTAATAGAAGTCTAGCTAAGACTTAAAAAAATACCATGTGTATCAAAGACATTATGCAGTGAAAATCCCCTTTAAATAAACATTTAAATAGTGAAAAACCCCATTAAAACAACAAATGCAATGTTTGGGAGTATGGCAGAAGCAGGTAAAGGTCTTTAAAGATCCTCTTACCTGTAATTTCCCAATTGCACCCAAACTTCAGACACCAATTTGTTGGGGATAAAATCAGCCCGGGCCCTTTGTGGATGATGGATATTTGCCAACTCATTCAGAGCTCCTGAAATTGGAAATGAATAGCAGAGACGTGTTCAATAACCAATTAAAATTGGTTAATACCCCGTTTTCATAGCAGGATGGGAGGGGGAAAAATGAGCATATGGGCGTGGCAATGACATAGATTGTTTTTCACAAGTTATGAGCAGCTGTTTCTTATTATAATTCTACATCATATAACGCATGCATATTTGATCAAAACAAGATATTTACAAATACCAAAATCTTGGACAAAGATTTTTGGAAGAATTGTCATTTTAATAAATGCGATTCTTCCTAGCCATGATAGTTCCATCTTGCCCCATCTCTCCATCTCTTTTTGTAGATCCGACCATGCTTTCCTTAAGTTATAAATATGCATATTTACCAAATGTTTGCATAAATTAATGTCTAGGTAGTCTATGTAGTCATTTCTCCGTATACAACATATACAAGCCCTTGAGAGTGTTAAGTTCTGAGTGATTTATATGGAATGGGAGGGCCTGAGACTTGGACTCATTTAATTTATAAAACAAAACCTCTCCAAATTGAAGTAAAATATCCTTGAGATATTGTAAGGATTTTTGGGGATTTTTGAGTGCCAGAATTATGTCATCCACAAATATACCGATTTTATGGGTAGATCCTTTAATAGATATTCCTTCAATCTCTGGAGTCTGCCTGATCAGTTCAGCCAGGGTTTCCATGGCCAAGACAAACAGAATTGGAGATAAAGGGAATCCCTGCATTGTCCCATTAGTAAGAGAGAAAGTATGGGATTGAAAACCAGAGGCTGAGATATGGGCCGAAGGGGACTGGTATAATGCTCTTATTGCGTTAACACAGGGCAATGGGATATTAACTCTTCTTAAAGTGCTCCATAAATAGCCCCAATGTATCCTGTCAAATGCCTTCTCTGCATCCAATGAAAGAAGCAAAGAAGGCGTTTTAGTCAGTTAATGTGTTGAATCAAATTAATAAACCTTCTGGTCCCATCCGGTGCCTGTCTCCCCTGCACGAAGCCCACTTGATCACTATTAATTAATAAAGGGACCAGTTTGGCCAACCTGTTTGCTAAAACTTTAGAATAAATTTTTGAATCATGGGGCGGGGCCGGACCGCCGAGCTGGACGGTCGCAAGACAGACCAGCTCCAGCAAAAACTAAACCATTCAGCCACAAAACTACGACTTTTACCAAAAATACCGGCCAGCAACGGCGGCCCTCGACGGGCAGAGTGCACTGAACCCAGGGTGAGGCTTGCTCGACGAGTATTAGTCCCCTGGTGAAGAAATCTTCAATGCTGAAGTTGAGGCCTACTCCAGCGGTGAGTGGAGTGGACGGCCGCCGCCCCGCTATCCTGCTGAACAGTGTCCAGCCTGGGGCTTAAACCCTCGAGGATCCGGCTCCGTTCCCCCCCTCTGGACCGGCGGGGGTGATCCCGGTCCTCACCCTGAAGCCCCGACCACTATGACTCAGACTAAGGCCTAGCAGCACTACCAGTTGCAGACTCTAAGATGGCGGAGACCGCGCGCCTAACCCCAAGATCTGAGTGCCCACCCCACAAATGCAGCTACCAACGCGGTTCAGCAGCACCAAATGATCAGACACCCACAAAGTCCAGCCGCATTTGTCATATGGAGAATTAAGATTTCTGGAAAAGTTTTGTAGTAGGAAATAGTGAATCCATCAGGACCAGGGGCCTTTCCAGATGGCATCAATTTAGTTGCCTCAGCTATCTCTTCAGATGAAATTGTTGGGGATAAAATCAGCCCGGGCCCTTTGTGGATGATGGATATTTGCCAACTCATTCAGAGATCTGGAAATTGGAAATGAATAGCAGAGACGTGTTCAATAACCAATTCAAATTTTATTCCTTTGTCAGTTATATTAATACCCCGTTTTCATAGCAGGATGGGAGGGGGAAAAATGAGCATATGGGCGTGGCATTGACATAGATTGTTTTTCACAAGTTATGAGCAGCTGTTTCTTATTATAATTCTACGTTATATAACGCATGCATAATTGATCAAAACAAGATATTTACAAATACCCAAATCTTGGACAATTAACAAGAACATTTTGAAATCAGTATTGTCATTCTCGTAAATTATATTAGATAAATTCTTCCCAAAATCGAAGATACAATTCCAAATTTATTCTTGGTTCACATTAACCCTTATATGAACAGCTAGGATATTAAGCAAAATGGATATTCGTATCTACAGAAATGTCATGCTCTAGGGTTTTTAGATTGTCTGGAGACAACCGAGACAATCTTACCGTATCTAAAAATGTATTAACCCCTTCAGGACGGGTGACGGACGAGGTCCGTCACACAGGGGAGACCCTTAACGACGGGTGACGGACCTCGTCCGTCACGCGGTAAAATTAACCCCGGATCGCCGCTATTGCAGCGATCGCGGGGTTAATGGTGCTCCCGGTATGCCTCTGCATTAGAGGCATACCGGGAGCACCCGGTCAAGCTGCCCAGCACATGTGCTCGCTCTGACCACAAGTCTGAGCGAGCACATGTGCTCTCTATACTCACCTACCGGCTCCCTGCACTTCCGGGTTCTGTGTGAAGTGCAGGGAGCCGGATCAGTGCTGATCCTGCCCCCTGCTGTTAAAAAAAATTAAGTTAATTTAAAGTGTCCCCCCCCTTACCCATTTTAATAAAAAATTAACCCCTTCCCTGCCAATTGATCACTGACTACAGTGATCAATTGGCAGGGATTACATTTTACTATGATCTGATTTTTTTTTTTAACCCCTGAGGGTTAATTCTTTTTTTTTTAACCCTCAGGGGTTAAATTAATTAAATTAATTAATTAAATTATTTTTAAATTATATATTTAGATAGCTGGGGTAGGTGGAAGTTAGTGGGGAATTGGGGGATTTGACGTTAGGCTAACTAGGGGTTAACGTTAAAAAAAAGTTTTAAAAGAAACTTTAAAAAGTTAAAAATTAAGCTTAAAAAAATGTTTTAATAACATTTAAGTAATAAAAACAAAAAAACACACTTTACCTAGTCCAAATAAAAATTAACCCCTTCCCTGCCAGTCGATCACTGCCTACAGCGATCAAATAGAGATCACAGTATTATACTGTGATCTAATTTTTTTTAACCCCTGAGGATTAACTTTTATTTATTTTTTTAACCCTCAGGGGTTCAATTTATTTAATTAATTAATTTAAATATTTTATAACTATATATTTTGCTAGCTGGGGTGGGTGGGAGTTATGGGAAAATGGGGAATTTACTGTTAGTGCTGCGTACTGCTAGTTAGGGGTTAACAGTAAAAAAAATAGCTTAGAAAAATGTTAAATCTGTAAAAAAGTTTTAAGAAAGTTTAGGAAAGTTTAAAAAAAATTTATAAGCAAAACAAAAGTTTAAAAACTAGTTTTTAAAAGTAAAAAAGTTATAAAAAGTAAAAAAATACATTTTAAAAACACTCATTACCACTACACCTGGAACAAACTAGAGAAAAAATTATCCCACGCCAAGGTTCAAAATATGCCTTTTGAATTACCCCAGGGTGTATTCTTTAATAAATAGTATGTGTTTGTGGGGAAGTTTCAATAACCAACCGTCTAAACTATTCCAAATTGGAACATGGACACAGCGTAAAACTTCAAAGTTAGAAAAAAACTGAATGGCTGCGTCTCAAATGCGCCCCTTCAACATCCACATATACCTGGCAAAGGTACATACGGGGGTATTGCTGTACTCAGCCGACATAGCTGAGCAACATATGAAGTATTATACAGTCATAGTACACATAAGGTTTGCAAAATATGCTGCGCAAACTCACTTTGTATGTCAAAAAGGCAGAAAAAATGCTTATTACCACTACACTTGGTACAAGCTAGCGGAAAAATGATCCCACACTAAGGTTCAAAATATGCCTTTTGAAATACCCTGGGATGTCTTCTTTAAGAAATGGTATGGCTTTATGGGGAATTTGGATTATATAGCCTGGTAAAATACTCTAAAATGGGACATAGGCACAGCATAAAAATTCAAAGTTTGAAAAAAAACTGGAATGGCTGTGTCCCAAATGTGCCCCTCCGATGTCCACACATACCTGGCAAAGGTACATACGGGGGTATTGCTGTACTCAGCCGACATAGCTGAGCAACATATGAAGTATTATACAGTCGTAGCACACATAAGGTTTGCAAAATATACTGTGCAAACTCACTTTGTATGTCAAAAAGGCAGAAAAAATGCTTATTACCACTACACTTGGTACAAGCTAGCGGAAAAATGATCCCACGCTGAGGTTCAAAATATGCCTTTTTGAAATACCCTGGGATGTCTTCTTTAAGAAATGGTATGGCTTTATGGGGAATTTGGATTATATAGCCTGGTAAAATACTCTAAAATGGGACATAGGCACAGCATAAAAATTCAAAGTTTGAAAAAAACTGGAATGGCTGTGTCCCAAATGTGCCCCTCCGATGTCCACACATACCTGGCAAAGGTACATACGGGGGTATTGCTGTACTCAGCCGACATAGCTGAGCAACATATGAAGTATTATACAGTCGTAGCACACATAAGGTTTGCAAAATATACTGTGCAAACTCACTTTGTATGTCAAAAAGGCAGAAAAAACGCTTATTACCACTACATCTGGTACAAGCTAGCGGAAAAATGATCCCACGCTAAGGTTCAAACTATACCTTTTGAAACACCCTGGGGTGTCTACTTTAAGAAATGGTAGGCCTTTGTGGGGTAGATTGAATTTAAAACCTGCGAAGATGCTTGGAAATTGCACATAGGCCCAGCGTCAAAATTCAAAGTTTGGTAAAAACGGATATGGCTTGGTCTCCTATATGGCACTGTAGCTTCACAAAATAGTGACAAAGACATTCATTGGGGGTGTATTTTTACTCAAAAGACTTAGCTGAGCATAATTTGGGAGGTTTGAACTTAGTGGCACATATGAAATATACAAAACGCCCAGCAAAAATGCAATCCGTATGTAAAAAATGCACAAAATAATTTTTTACCACATACTTTGGCATATATTGGTGAAAAAATGGGGGTATGTTAAGGCACAATATGCACCTTATGAGATACCCTGGAGTGTCTACTTTTACAAATGGTAGGCCTTTGTGGGGGGTTTTTGAACAGTCAAACTGTTATAATACCCCAAATGGAAGCTAAGGCTCATTAAATCCATCTCTCAAAATTCTACTGTGAATACTGTAAAGGACAGGTCTCCTATATGGCACTGTAGCTTCACGAAATAGTGCCAAAGACATTCATATGGGGTGTCATTTTACTCAGAAGACTTAGCTGAGCATAATTTGGGGGGTTTGAACTTAGTGGCACATATGAAATATACAAAACGCCCAGCAAAAATGCAATCCGTATGTAAAAAATGCACAAAATTATTTTTTACCACATACTTTGGCATATATTGGTGAAAAAATGGGGGCATGTTAAGGCACAATATGCACCTTATAAGATACCCTGGAGTGTCTACTTTTACAAATGGTAGGCCTTTGTGGGGGTTTTTTGAACAGTCAAACTGTTATAATACCCCAAATGGAAGCTAAGGCTCATTAAATTCATCTCTCAAAATTCTACTGTGAATACTGAAAAGGACAGGTATCCTGTATGGCACTGTAACTTCACGAAATAGTGCAAAAGACATACAATGGGGGTGTCATTTTACTCAGCAGATATAACTGAACACAAAATAAAACTTTGTACAGGAATAGCACACACCAACTTTACAAAATATACACGAGAATTTCTCTGTTATAAGTTTGTGTGCCAAAAACCAAAAAGAACACAATTTTACTCCAATATTTAGCAGAGGTTGGCGGTAATATGGCTACGTAGAAAGTGTCAAAACAACCTTAGGTAAATAGCCCGTGATGTCTACTTTATATAAATATATACTTTTGTGTGGCAATTTTGTTTTCTTTTATGGCTATTAAGCTTACAAGACAAACATACCAAATTCTAAAATCGCTCCACATTAAAATTTTATTTTACTCCTTGTGCTTTGTGACCTGTAACTACCAAAAAAAACTTAAAATCCCAGACACATTATATATTCTGTAAATCAGAACAAATAAATAAATTTATTTTTAATTACTTTCCTTAACCTGCACTAATTATGCACACATTATTATTGCAAAAACTGTAAAAAAAAACAATATTTTTCATTTTTTTTGCATTTTTCTGTATTTTTTTTATAATAAGTAAGCATTTATATATATATATATATGTTATATCAAATTAAAGCCCTTTCTGTCCTTTAAAAAACAGTATATAATATGTGTCGGTGCAATAAATGAGAGAGATGCAAATTGCAGTTGAACGCAAACAGCAAGAAAATGCAAAAATTGCTTGTGTCATTAAGCGTAAGTCAAGCTTCTGAAGCTGTGTCCTTAAGGGGTTAATTGTTACTTCAGAAGATTGGGGAAGTTCCAAATCCAATTCTAGATTGTAGAGTTTGCTTTAGTATTCTGTGAACAGGTTACTAATTTTAGTTGCATGGAATATGTCCCTGGTCATTTAATAGATATGCTATTTTTGACTGGGCATTCACATGCCGAAGTTTAGACGCCAGAAGAGTTGAGGCCCTGTTCCCCTTTAAATAAAATGTTTTCTTAAGGCGTCTCACCATGAGAGATGTGCGGTCTAAATTAGTTTTATGTATTTTAGACTTAAAGGACCACTCTAGGCACCCAGACCACTTCAGCTTAATGAAGTGGTCTGGGTGCCAGGTCCAGCTAGGGTTAACCCATTTTTTCATAATTATAGCAGTTTCAGAGAAACTGCTATAATTATGAATGGGTTAAGCCTTCCCCCTAATCCTCTAGTGGCTGTCTCATTGACAGCCACTAGAGGCGCTTGCGTGCTTCTCACTGTGATTTTCACAGTGAGAGCACGCAAGCGTCCATAGGAAAGCATTGTAAATGCTTTCCTATGCGACAGGCTGAATCTTGTAGCGCAGCTCTTGCTGGCGTGCGCGCAACGGGGAGGCGGAGGAGGAGGAGGAGGAGAGCTCTCCGCCCAGCGCTGGAAAAAGGTACGTTTTTACCCCTTTCCCCCTTCCAGAGCCGGGCGGGAGGGGGTCCCTGAGGGTGGGGGCACCCTCAGGGCACTATAGTGCCAGGAAAACGGGTATGTTTTCCTGGCACTATAGTGGTCCTTTAATCTCTCCTATCATTGCTGATAGGGAAGCCGATGGACCAAATTTGTTTGCCTGATTCAGGTTATATAGTTCTTTTTCCTTAGTTCTCAAATCATTAGTATTAATTGTCTTCAGGTAAGATGCCCTAGAAATAAAATGGCCTCGTAACACAGCCTTGTTAGCATTCCAAGTCACCTCACCAGGAACCTCAGGTGACGCATTCTCTGAGAAATAATCACTCAAGGCTCTCTCTGCTAGTGACTTGTTTTCAGCATCGTTTATCAAGTATTCACCTAGTTTCCATGTTCCATTTGGAGCTAATGATATATTTTAATTTATATGCATTGTGTTTGGAGCATGGTTGGACCAATTAATATCTAGAATGTCAGATTTCAAGATGTGCGGTATTAAAGCGCTCTGGATCAGAAATCTATCTAATCTAGAGTACATATTTTTAGACACTGAATAGTAAGTGAAATCCATTCTCATGCAACAATCTCCATGGTCATACAACCCACATTCAATCATGTATTTTGAGCATTTATTGGCTAATCTGTCGCTATCTCTTTTATGAAATTGGTCATGCTCTTCTCTAGCATTATCAATTTCTCCATCCATAACAAAATTTGTATCACCACACATCACCAGAATTCCTCTCAGGTTATCATTCACCAATTCCATTATCCACCTGAGTTAGGAAAATACATATTCACAATGGTATACTCAACATTATTGATTTTTCCTGTCTACAATATGTACCTCCCTTCATCGTCCACTAGTACCTTTTCTGTTGAACATGCCACATTCCTGTTAAAGAAAATTGAAGCACCTCTGGACTTGGATTTATAATTGTAATGGGATTGGGTTGGGAACATTTTTGACATAAGCTTATAATCTTTACCAACTTTTAAGTGTGTTTCTTGTACACAAATGATGTCGGATTTGTTGGACTTTGCTTCTTTGAATAGCAATCTTCTCTTGTTCGCGGTGTTTAAACCCTTCACATTGAATGCTAAAAATATTAAAAGCATAGTTTATACCATACAGTATGAGTGGTAGAGAAAAAACAATGAATAATGTGAGAGTGCGAACCTCCATGCGCCAAGAGAAGTTCAAAGGAGACCAACATCGGTACAAAGCTAGTTTGTTGTAGCAATATGAAACTTACTAAACTAAGTATATCCAACGTTGTACAGTTTGTAGCTTTGAATTGCATTGCATAAAATACTTTACATTTCTCAGGGAACTGGATGGATATAAAAAAAAAAGAAAGTAAAAAATAGAAAAAGGATATGAGAAACTTGGGTAAAGGCCCCTATCAGAGGTAAAGGGAAAACATTGGAGAAAAAAAGGGCCATGAGGGAGAGCAATAAAGGTTTCTCCATCTCTGGGTGTTAGGCCCGGGTTGGGGGGAAGAGAAGACTACCGGGGGCAAGGGGACTCGTTTTACGAAATAGAATAAAAATAAAAGCATGAGAAAATGTAACAGGGATACAGTCAAGGGTATGAATTGTGTCTTAAAGCAATACAACTGACTGTTTGTGGGCAGAAAAGATCAAAACTTTGTACATTAGTGCTTCGTGGCTGCAGATATAGTGTTAATTACGTGTAGTGTTTGGTTTGCTCCTCTTGCTGGCATGCTCCGGAGTAGATGGCGAAAGGCTGTGCATGACGTCTGTGCATTGAACTAACAAGTTCCATTCCTTCCCCCGGTGATGTAATTATAAAGTTCTGACCATCAATGCGGAAAAGCACCTTCACAGGGAAAACCCATCTATATTTTATCCCTCTCTGACGCAATTCCGCCGTGAAAGATTGAAATTCCCTGTGGCGTCTCATTGTGTGAGCTGAGAAGTCCTTAAAGACCTTTATTTCGTTGTAGTCCCCAGATACACCAGTTGTACACACTGCACTCAAGAATTCCTCTTTGATGTGGTAATATTGAAATCTTACCTTAACATCCTTGGGCTCAGCCGCAGGTGCATTGCTAGGTTTGGGCAGCCTATGGATGCGGTCCAACAGTAAGTCCGAGTTAGAGACAACGGGTTTGACCGCCTTTAACATTTTCTGGGCGTAGTTCGCTAGTTCCACGACATCAATATTGTCAGGTATTCCCCTGATCCTTAAATTGTTGCGCCTGCTCCTGTCTTCCGCGTCAGCCAGTTTTTCCCCCTGCTGATTCACCTGCCTCTGGAGCATCTTTACTGTGTCGACCAACTCCAAATGAGATTGTTCTTGAGAATGCAACCTTTTCTCCACCTCCTCCGTGAGATGGTTAAATCCTTCCATGGCTCCATAAATTGCTTCAAAAATCTATGTTTCTATGTTTTTGTAAATCGATTTGTAGGTTTCGGATAAGCTGAATTATCATTCTCGCTGATGGTGGCAGGTCTTCAGCCATTTCCAGTGGCATGGTTGGGTTATATGTAGTGATGTCGCGAACACGAAATTTTCGGTTCCGCAAACTTCCGCAAATGTTCGCAAACCGGCGAACCGAGCGAACCGCCATAGACTTCAAAGGGCAGGCGAATTTTAAAACACACAGGGACTCTTTCTGGCCACAATAGAGATGGAAAAGTTGTTTCAAGGGGACTAACACCTGGACTGTGGCATGCCGGAGGGGGATCCATGGCAAAACTCCCATGGAAAATTACACAGTTGATGCAGAGTCTGGTTTTAATCCATAAAGGGCAGAAATCACCTAACATTCCTAAATCACAATGAATATGGATTGACACCTGACATATGACATATTGACACCTTGACATATGGATTGACACCTGTCCTCAGAGCCCCTGATGCACACGGACACAGAGCAGAATAGAGACTGTTCCCCCTACATAGGGTCACTTGGCAGATATGGATTGACACCTGTCCTAAGGATCCCTGATACACACTGACACAGAGCAGAATAGGGACTGTTCCTCCTACATAGGGTCACTTGGCAGATATGGATTGACACCTGTCCTCAGAGACCATGATACACACTGACACAGAGCAGAATAGAGACTGTTCCCCCTACATAGGGTCACTTAGCAGATATGGATTGACACCTGTCCTCAGAGCCCCTGATACACACTGACACAGAGCAGAATAGGGACTGTTACCCCTACATAGGGTCACTTGGCAGATATGGCGTGGTCGTGGGAGGAGGAGGATGACTTTCACCTCTTCCCCTGTTAGATTCCCGTTGTGCTGTGACATCACCCTTATACGCTGTGTAAAGCATACTTTTTAATTTATTTAGCAAATGCTGCATCCTTTCCGACTTGTAATTTGGTCACATTTCCGCCACTGTCTGCTTATACCGGGGGTCTAGTAGCGTGGACACCCAGCACAGGTCGTTCTCCTTCAGCCTTTTTATACGAGGGTCCCTCAACAGGCACGACAGCATGAAAGACCCCATTTGCACAAGGTTGGATGCCGAGCTACTCATTTCCCATTCCTCCTCCTCACACAGAGCAGAATAGGGACTGTTCCCCCTACACTTGGCAGATATGGATTGACACCTGTCCTAAGGGTCCCTGATACACACTGACACAGAGCAGAATAGGGACTGTTCCTCCTACATAGGGTCACTTGGCAGATATGGATTGACACCTGTCCTAAGGATCCCTGATACACACTGGCACAGAGCAGAATAGAGACTGTTCCCCCTACATAGGGTCACTTGGCAGATATGGATTGACACCTGTCCTCAGAGACCATGATACACACTGACACAGAGCACAATAGAGACTGTTCCCCCTACATAGGGTCACTTGGCAGATATGGATTGACACCTGTCCTCAGAGCCCCTGATACATACTGACACAGAGCAGAATAGAGACTGTTCCTCCTACATAGGGTCACTTGGCAGATATGGATTGACACCTGTCCTCAGAGACCATGATACACACTGACACAGAGCAGAATAGAGACTGTTCTCCTACATAGGGTCACTTGGCAGATATGGATTGACACCTGTCCTCAGAGACATGATACACACTGACACAGAGCAGAATAGAGACTGTTCCCCCTACATAGGGTCACTTGGCAGATATGGATTGACACTGTCCACAAGGACAAGCTGCAGGCTTCCTGGCAGGGCCCATACAAGGTGGTAGAGCAGGTTTGTGATACCACCTTTGTGATCGGTGCGGTCACAGGCACGGGAGGCAAGCGCATGCTCCATGTGAACATGCTCAAGCCATACCACGAGCGCACGGAAGAGGTAACCGCGATCTGTGCACCTGCCACTGAAGATTATGATAATTTGCCACTCCCAGGTCTCCTAGACCTAGAGGGCCAGAGCGGAGACCTGGGAGAAGTACAGTTAGGAGAATGGCTAGACCCCCAGGAGCGAACCCAGGTCCAAAGACTAATCCAGGACAAGGGGGCCACGTTTTCCAACCTACCTGGGTACAGTCCGTTAACCACTCACAAAGTTGAAATCCTAGACCAGATCCCCCTTCGCCAAACCGCCTATCGCATACCTGAAGCAGTTAAAGAAAATATTCAGAAAGAAATTGAGGAAATGATGCTGTTAGGGGTGATAGAACACTCTGACAGCCCCTGGGCCTCCCCGGTAGTACTAGTACCGAAACGGGACGGCACGACCGTTTCTGTGTAGACTACCGGAGGCTAAACGATAAAACAACCTCAGACGCCTCGTCTATGCCCCGGATAGACGAGCTCCTAGACAAAATGGCCAGAGGCCAGTACCTCACCACAATAGATCTGTGCAAGGGGTACTGGCAAATTCCATTAGCCGAGGACGCCATCCACAAGTCGGCATTTGTCACCTCGTTTGGCCTGTATCAGTTTAAGGCCATGCCATTCGGGATGAAGAATGCCCCGGCTAACTTTCAGAGGATGGTAGATCGGCTACTGGATGGGTTTCAGGAGTATGCCTGCGCCTACTTGGATGATATAGCCATTTTTAGCTGCTCCTGGCCCGAACACCTGACCTACATAGGAGCCGTACTAGACCGGATTAGGGAGGCCGGACTGACCCTAAAGCCCAGTAAGTGCCATATAGGAACGCGTAAAAACCTCCCCAAGATAGTAGTATGGGCCCCAGAGTGTGAACAGGCCTTCCAACAGCTCAAGACGGCGCTCATTAAATCATCTGTACTTTCTGCTCCTGATCCAACTAAACGCTTTCTCGTCCATACAGACGCTTCTATGTTTGGATTGGGAGCAGTACTGAGCCAAGTCGGAGCAGATGGCGGCGAGCAACCCGGGGCTTATCTAAGCCGGAAACTTTTGCCCAGGGAAGTAGATACACTGCCATTGAAAAGGAGTGCCTGGCGGTGGTGTGGGCCCTCAAAAAGCTGCAACCTTACTTGTATGGACAACCGTTTACCTTACTCACAGATCACAACAAATTTGGGGCACTGCGCGTGCAATCTAATGTGCCACCAGATAGGAGTGGTGTGTTAAGTAGTACTATTCTTATCAGTTTAATCCCTGTTACGTCCCCTATCCGTTGATGTGGAGCAAGATGCAGCAGCAGAAGAGGACTCAGCCGAGGAGGTTATGGAAGAGGATGGAGTAGGAGTAGTAGAGGAGGTGGCAGCAGGCCTGCCTGCAAGTCATGGCGGTGTCACCAACTCCTCTGCAGTGCCACGCATTCCATGCTTGGCAGCCGTCAGCAGGTTTGCCTAGTGTATATATACCTGCCCTGACCATGCTTTGCAGACCAGGTATCAGTGGTCAGATGGACCCTTGCCCCAACACTGTGTGCCAGACATGCCATTATTTCCTTTTGCACAATCGAGTACAGGTTGGGGATTGCCTTTTGTGAAAATAAATTTCGTCCGGGTACCAGTGAGTGAGTGGTGGCACTGGGCACAGTATCCACTGTGAGCCTGACACACCCGCTGGCAGAGAACTAACTGCTATTCAATCTATAACAGTGAAAAAAGTTTTTTGTTTTTAAATGCAAGCTATTGTGACACCAGATATGAGTGGCACTGTGAACTGGCAGAGTACACGCTGTAGGACTGACACACCCGCTTTGAGACAACTAACTGCTATTCAATCTATGACAGTGAAAAAAGATTTTTGGTTTTTAAATGCACGCTATTGTGACACCAGATATGAGTGGCACTGTAAACTGGCAGAGTACACGCTGTAGGGCTGACACACCCGCTTTGAGACAAGTAACTGCTATTCAATCTATAACAGTGAAAAAAGATTATTTTTTTTTTTTCATATTTAAAGTTTTTATTGACAATTTTTCAGGGGGATGGGGAGGGGTACAGAAAGAATAAAGGAGGGGTGGGGCAGGGTTGTCAGGATTAACAATGATACATCTCGTCATAAAATACAGCGTTAAGTCACTCATTAGTACATGCTGCGCAATGCAAAACATAGAATGCTGAATACATAATACGGAGTACAGAATACTTGGGGTGCAATGTGCACGTACTTTAGTTCGAGTCAGAGTCTGTAGGTGTTGGGTTTTTGAGAAGGCTGCTTTGGTGGGGTGAAGAGGAAGGGTTCGTGAGATGCCCTTCCCAATACTCCACCCACGGGGCCCAAGTTGCTAGGAGTCGCACTTTAAGTGCCGCAGTTTGGGTGGATAAGCACTCGTGGGTATAGTATTGGTGGATTTTAGCTACTAGGAGAGTTTTAGAGGGGCAACGTGGTAGCTTCCAGTGATTTGCGATTAGATTTCTCACTGCTAGTGCTATGAGTGCCATGATAACTTTAACTCTTTTTGTTATGAGGTTAGGGTATGTTAGAAATATACCTGTGTGTATGTCTAGGAGTGGTGTGGTGATGCCTATGGTTCGCAATATAGTTTGCGCCTCTTGCCACAGCGGGCGGATACGTGAACATGACCACCAAATGTGTGTCATCGTTCCACTTTCCGTTCCACATCTCCAGCAGTGTGGGGGAACCATTTTATACATTTGATGAAGCCGTTGGGGAGTTAGGTACCACCTATACACTAGTTTTTTATGCGCTTCGAAGTGGGAGTAACACTGCGTTAGCCCTTTGAGTGCATTAAGAGACGCTAGTATTTCCCTGCTAGAGATCGTTGTGCATTCCTTTAGCCATTGTGTCACAAATATGGGGGGAGGAGGTGGTGAAGTTCGTAGAAGGGTTTTGTAGCAAGAAGCAAGGGATTTGGGTTTGGTTGGAGCCCTCCAGCATCTGTCATATAAAGTCTCCAGGTCCAGTAGATCTGGGTTGTGTACTGTAGCTGTGTGGGTGACATGGGTGGGTATAATGCTCTTGAGTTGCATGTATAGGAACACTGAGGATTTAGGTAGGTGAAATTCCCTTTGTAATTCTGAAAAGGGTTTGATGCGGTTCAGCTGGAGGACTTGATCGAGTGTGGTTATTCCCAGTTTGACCCATGAGTTCAGTGAGAGCCAGGGTGATATCGCTTTCAGGGCCGTCAGCGGGGAACGTGGGTGGTATTTGTGAGGTGCAGTTTGTTTCTGGCGTAACATGTCCCAGTGGTGTAGGGTTAGTGTAGTAGTTGGGAGGAGTGTTATTCTTTGGGGCGTAGTGGCTTAGGTGTCCAGAACATATTTACTAGTGATGTGCCATTGAGTTGATCAATTTCCATGTCTACCCATTGGTAGACTTTTTTAGAGGTATGTATTTTCAGGGGCGGACTGACCACTCGGGCACTTCGGTCATGGACCGAGGGCCCGAGGAAGTCAGGGGCCCGGCAGCACAGCCTTGTTCCAGCTGGAGAGATCAGAGATCTCTCCAACTGGAACAGCAAAATTAAAAAAAATAAAACTATTTAATTGATAGGTTGGGGTCCCCTGATGCAGCTTGGGGCCCCACAACCTACCGCCCTGTAAATCACCCCCCTATGAGACCTGGCAGCTTCAGCAGCTCTCTGCCAGGTCTCCTTCTCCCTGTCGCGCGGTGCTCTGTGTGATGGGAGAGGCGGGACAGGAAGTGACATCACTTCCTGTACTCTCCTCTCACACACAGAGCCTGATCAGTCAGCAGGGGAAGGAGCAGCAGCCTGGGAGAGAAGAGTAAGCACAGGTAGGCTCTAATCACCCCCCCCGTCCCTAGTCAACCCCCCCCTGTCACTAGTCACCCCCCCACTGTCATTAGTCACCCCCTGTCCCTAGTCACCCCCCACTGTCACTAGTAACCCCCCACTGTCACTAGTAACTGTCACTAGTAACCCCCACTAGTCACCACTAGTCCCCCCCACTGTCACTAGTCACTGTCAGTAGCCCCCTGTCACTAGTCACCCCCACTGTCACTAGTCACCCCCTCCCGTCACTAGTCACCCCCCCTCACTGTCACTAGTCACCCCCCACTGTCACCAGTCACCCCCCACTCACTGTCACTCACTGTCACTAGTCACCCCCCCTCACTGTCACTAGTCACCCCCTCACTGTCACTAATCACCCCTCACTGTCACTAGTCACCCCCCCCACTGTCACTAGTCACCCCTGTCCTAGTCCCCCCCCTTCCTGTCACTAGTCATCCCCCACTGTCACTAGTCACCCCCTCTTGTCACTAGTCACCCCCCTCTTGTCACTAGTCACCCCCCTCCTGTCACTAGTCACCCCCTCACTGTGTTACTAGTCACCCCGTCACTGTCACTAGTCACCCCCGTCACTGTCACTAGTCACCCCTCACTCTGTCACTAGTAACCCCCTCCCTCACTCTGTCACTAGTCACCCACTTACTCTAGTGACAGAGTGAGGGAGAGGGTGACTAGTGACAGAGGGAGGGATGGGGTGACACAGTGACAGAGGGAGGGGGTGACTAGTGAGAGTGCGGGAGTGGGTGACTAGTGACAGAGGGAAGGATGGGTTGACTAGTGACAGTCACCACCTCCCTCACTCTGTCACTAATCATCATCTCCCTCTGTCACTAGTCACCCCCTCCCTCATTCTGTCACTAGTCACCCCCTCCCTCACTAGTCACACCCTCCCTCACTCTGTCACTAGAGTGAAGGGATGACTGGTGACAGAGTGAGGGAAGGGGTGACTAGTGGCAGAGTGAGGGAAGGAAGGGGTGACTAGTGGCAGAGTGAGGGAAGGAAGGGGTGACTGGTGACAGAGTGAGCGGATGACTGGTGACAGAGTGAGAGAGGGGAATGACTAGTGACAGAGTGAGTTAGGGGGTGACTAGTGACAGAGTGAGGAAGGGGGTGACCAGTGACAGAGGGAGGGGTGACTAGGGACAGAGTGAGTGAGGTGGTGACTAGTGACAGTCACCACCTCCCTCACTCTGTCACCTGTCATCCCCTCACTCTGTCACTAGTCACCCCTTCCCTCACTCTGTCACTAGTCACCCCCTCAATCTAGTGACAGAGTAAGGGAGGGTGTGACTAGTGACAGAGTGAGGGAAGGGGTGACTAGTGACAGTCACCACCTCCTTCACTCTGTCACTAGTCACCCCCTCCCTCACTCTGTCAATGTGTCACCCCCTTCCTCACTCTGTCACTAGTCACCACTTCCTTCCCTCACTCTGCCACTAGTCACCCCTTCCCTCACTCTAGTGACAGAGTGAGGGAGGGTGTGACTAGTGACAGAGAGAGGGAGCGTGAGACTAGTGACAGAGTGAGGGAGGGTGTGACTAGTGACAGTGAGGAAGGGGGTGACTAGGGACAGAGTGAGGGAGGGGGTGACTAGTGACAGTCACCATCTCCCTCACTCTGTCACTAGTCACCACCTCCATCACTCTGTCACTAGAGTGAGGGGGTGACAGGTGACAGAGTGATGGAGGTGGTGACTAGTGACAGAGTGAGGGAGATGGTGACTGTCACTAGTCACCCCCTCCCTCACTCTGTCCCTAGTCACCCCCTTCCTCACTGTCACTAGTCACACCCTCCCTCACTCTGTCACTAGTCACACGCTCCCTCTCTCTGTCACTAGTCACACCCTCCCTCACTCTGTCACTTGAGTGAGGGGGTGACTAGTGACAGAGTGAGGGAAGGGGTGACTAGTGGCAGAGTGAGGGAAGGAAGGGGTGACTAGTGACAGAGTAAGGGGATGACTGGTGAAAGAGTGAGGGAGGGAGTGGGTGACCAGTGACAGAGGGAGGGAGGTGGTGACTAGTGACAGAGGTGGTGACTGTCACTAGTCACTAGTCACCATCTCCCTCACTCTGTCCCTAGTCACCCCTCCCTCTGTCACTAGTTACCCCTTCCCTCCCTAACTCTGTCACTAGTCACACACTCCCTCACTCTGTCACTAGAGTGAGGGGGTGACTAGTGACAGAGTGAGGGAAGGGGTGACTTGTGGCAGAGTGAGGGAAGGAAGGCGTGACTAGTAACAGAGTGAGGGAGGTGGTGACTGTCACTAGTCACCAGCTCCCTCACTCTGTCACTAGTCACCACCTCCCTCTGTCACTACTCCCTCCCTCCTTCTGTCACTAGTTACCCCCTCCGTCCCTTACTCTGTCACTAGTCACCCCCTCCCTCATTCTGTCACCAGTCATCCCCTCCCTCTGTCACTAGTCACCCCCTCACTCTAGTGACAGAGAGAGGGAGGGTGTGACTAGTGACAGAGAGAGGGAGTGTGTGACTAGTGACAGTAAGGAAGGTGATGACTAGTGACAGAGTGAGAGAGGGGGTGACTAGTGACAGAGTGAGGGAGGGAGTGGGTGACTAGTGACAGAGTGAGGAAGGGGGTGACACAATGACAGAGTGAGGGAGGGGGTGACTAGTGACAGAGTGAAGGAGGTGGTGACTGTCACTAGTCACCCCATCCCTCACTCTGTCACTAGTCACCCACTCCCTCTCTCTGTCACTAGTCACACCCTCCCTCACTCTGTCACTAGTCACACCCTCCCTCTCTCTGTCACTAGTCACACCCTCCCTCACTCTGTCACTAGAGTGAGGGGGTGACTAGTGACAGAGGGAGGGGATGACTGGTGACAGAGTGAGGGACGGAGGGGGTGACTAGTGATTGAAGGAGGGAGGGAGTAGTGACAGAGGGAGGTGATGACTAGTGACAGAGTAAGGGAGCTGGTGACTAGTGACAGTCACCACCTCCCTCACTCTGTCACTAGTCACGCCTTCCTTCCCTCACTCTGCCACTAGTCACCCCATCACTCTAGTGACAGAGTGAGGGTGTGACTAGTGACAGTTAGGCAGGGAAGGGGTGACTAGTGACAGAGGGAGGGGTGACTAGGGACAGAGTGAAGGAGGTGGTGACTAGTGACCGTCACCACCTCCCTCACTCTGTCACTAGTCACCACCTCCCTCCGTGACTGTGTCACCCCCTCCCTCACTCTGTCACCAGTCATCCCCTTACTCCGTCACTAGTCACCCCTCCCTTCCTTCACTCTGCCGGTAGTCACCCCATCCCTCACTCTATCACCTGTCACCCCCTCACTCTGTCACTAGTCACCCCCTCACTCTAGTGACAGAGAGAGGGTGTGACTAGTGACAGTGAGTAAGGGTGTGACTAGTGACAGAGAGAGGGAGGGTGTGACTAGTGACAGAGTGAGGGAGGGAAGGGGTGACTAGTGAGAGTGAGCGAGGTGGTGATTAGTGACAGAGGGAGGAATGGGGTGACTATCACTGTGTCACCCCCTTCCTCACTCTGTCACTAGTCACCCACTCCCTCCCTCACTCGGTCACTAGTCACCCCCTCTCTCACTCTGTCACCAGTCATTCCCTCACTCTGTCACCAGTCATCCCTTCCTTCCCTCACTCTGCCACTAGTCATCTCTTCCCTCACTCTGTCACCAGTCATCCCCTCACTCTATCACCAGTCACCCCTTCCTTCCTTCACAGTGACAGAGTTAGGGAGGGAGGGACTAGTGACAGAGAGAGGGATGGGGTGACTAGTGACAGAGTGTGGAAGGGGGTGACTAGGGACAGAGGGGGTGATTAGTGACAGAGTGAGGGAGGGGGTGACTAGTGACAGAGTGAGGGAGCGGGTGACACAGTGACAGAGTTAGGGAGGGAGTGACTAGTGACAGAGAGAGTGATGGGGTGACTAGTGACAGTCACCCCCTCCCTCCCTCTGTCACTAGTCACTCCCTCACTCTGTCACTCTGTCACCAGTCATCCCCTCACTCTGTCACCAGTCACCCCTTCCCTCCCTCACTCTGCCACTAGTCATCTTTTCCCTCCCTCACTCTGCCACTAGTCACCCATTCCCTAACTCTGTCACTAGTCACCCCCTCTCCCTCCCTATGTCACTAGTCACCCCCACTCACTGTGTCTCCCCCTTACTCTGCCACCACTCAACCCCTCCCTCCCTCACTCTGCCACCAGGTACCCCCTCACTCTGCCACCTGTCACAACCTCCCACACTCTTCCACCTGTCACCTTCTCCCTCACACACTGTCACCTGTCACATATGCATTCACACAGACACTATATACAAAAAAGCACATGTAGTCATCCCGACATGCACAAGTGCATTCACACAGACTCAAATACAAACATGCATTGATACACAGGTCTTCACAATATACACATCCAAAGGAATGCTGTATTATGAGTTATATTTAACATTTATTTAATGCACATATATTTGGCCTTCAAAGGGCCTGGGATCTAATTTTGCCCGGGGGCCCCAAAGGCTCTCAGTCCGCCCCTGTGTATTTTCACTGCCGCTTCTAAGACGGCCGCTTTATAATATGTATATATATCTGGTAGGCCTACTCCCCCATCCGTCTGATGGTTCTGGAGGAGGCGTTGGGAGATTCTGGGTCTATGGGCGTCCCATATATAAGAGGACAGCACTTTTTGGAGTGATTTAAAAAATATTGGTGGAGCCTGTAGGTGTAGGAGACGGAAAACGTACAACAGTTTAGGAAGGAGGACCATTTTTACTGTGTTGATTCTGCCCAGCCATGATAGCTTGACTGGTTTCCACCGTAGGCACTCAGATTTGCATAGGTTGAGGAGTGGTTTATAGTTGTATTGGTATAGTTGCTCCGTTGTGGACGCGATTTTGACCCCAAGGTAGGTGATGTGGTCAGACCTCCAGTCAAAGTCGTGTGTAGTTTTGAGGCCCTGCACTGAGTCTTTAGTAAGGCCTATGGGTAGCGCCTGGGTTTTTGTTTGGTTTAGTTTATAGTATGTCAGGTCGCCATAGCGTTTTAGGAGCAGCATCAAAGCGGGTAGGGACGAGGACACGTCACTCAACGTTAAGAGAATGTCGTCCGCAAACATGGACAGTTTGTATTCAGATTTGCCCACCACCATGCCTTTAATTTCGGGTTGGCGTCTGATTATATGTGCCAGCGGCTCTAAGGAAAGGACAAATAATAATGGGGACAGAGGGCACCCCTGGCGCGTGCCATTGGTTATTTTGAATGGGGTGGAGAGAAAGCCTTCATTGGAAACCTGAGCCGTCGGGGCGTTATACAACGCCATAATGCCCAAGATCATGGGCGTTGTTGTCAAGAACCAGGAACCAGACAGAGACAGATCTAGATGCAAAAACACCTTTATTTAATAAATAACAAAGAAATAACCAAAAGCAAAGTCCAGGAGGCAAGCAGGGGTCAGTCACCAGAGTGGGTAGTCAGACGAGCCAGGATCAGGAGAACGGAGAGCAGCGGAGTCAGGAACAAGGCCAGAGTCAGGAACCAGGAGCAAACAGGAAACACAGGAACAAGGAGACTTCTGGGGATCAGGAAACCACGCAAGGGCAAGGAGGTTCTGGGATTTGCTGCTTAAATAGGCTGAACTGATTAGCAGCAGGGTTGATTACTATTCTCAGGTGAGTAACCGTGGCAACATGCTGAAGGAGCTGATCGTTAATTACAGCTGAAACCTCAGACACTGAAAAAGGAAGGGTGGCTGTTTAAAACAGCAAAGAAACCCTGACAGTTGTGAAGCCAAACGCCCTTAAGACCTGTTGCATGTAGTCCCAATTGAGCCTGTCAAAGGCCTTCTCCGCATCTAGCGCTAAGAGAAGGCCCTTTCCCCCGGCCTTATGTGTGTGGGATAGAATGTTTAAGATCTTCCTTGTGTTGTCCGAACCTTGTCTCGTTTTGACAAAGCCTGACTGATCATTGTGTATTAATGTGGGGAGGATAGTAGACAACCGGTTGGCTAGGAGTTTAGCATATAGTTTGGTAGAGATATGGGTCTAAAATTTTGGCACTGTGTTTGGGGTTTGCCTGGTTTTGGTAGAGTGGAGATATGGGCTTTTAACATTTCTGAGGGTAGGGCCCCTTGTGAGTAGCATTGGTTGAAGAGTGCGGATATGTGTGGCGATAGGAAGGGGGTAAACGGCGCGGTGAGGGAAGATATGTCTTCCGGGGATAGTTTGGGTAAGTCGGATTGTGCTAGAAAATTAAGGATGTCTTGCGTGGATGGTGGTGTGATCTTGGGGTCCTCTCTAAGGTTGTAGAGTTTGCTGTAGTAATCTGCAAATGCGTCAACTATGTTTTGAGGGTTTGTGAGTTTCTGTTTTGTAGCCGTGACGATATATGCTATTCTGGAGTGGGCCGTGCGTGCTTTAAGTCTTGTGGCTAATAGAGCACCCGCCCTGTTCCCTTGCGAGAAAAAATTGTGTTTATATCGTTGAAGTATGTGAGTGGTTTTGGCTTGTTCCAGGATGCTAAGTTTGGTGTGTAGTACGGAGAGCTTGTGACGCAGTGTTTGCGTGGGGTGTGTTTTATTTTTATGTGTAAGATCAGTTATCTGGGCGATTAGGTCAGCTTTTTAGCGTGGCTACCCGCTCTAATCAGGAGACCCCTTATCACCGCCTTGTGTGCTAGCCAGACAGTAGTCATGTCTACGTCGGGGGTCAGGTTCGTTTTGAAGTAGTCGGTGAGGTCTACTCTGAGTTGGTCTACAATTTTAGGGTCTCTCAACAGGGAGTCATTCAGTCTCCATGTTCCTTTGCCCACAGCAGAGCAGGTCTCCCTTAAGGTTAGGGTTATTGGGGCATGGTCTGACCAAGTTACAAGACCTATATCTGTTGTCTGAACTGCCTGCATCAGCGTTGTTGGAATTAAGAACCTGTCGATTCTAGAGTATGTATTGTGAGCTAGGGAGTGAAAGGTGTAATCCTGTTCCAACGGGTGAAGAACTCTTCATGGGTCTAAAAAGTTGTGCTGGAGAATCTGGTTGCAGAGCAACGACGAGGTTTTGTGCGACTTACGTGCTGAAGTGTTGGTCAGCCTAGCGGTAGACGTGGAGTCTAGAGATCTGTCGAGGAGGAAATTAGTGTCACCTCCAATGACCAAAGTTCCAAATCTATGTACGCTCGCTAGGGCGAAGATTTTGTCTGTGAATTCCGCCTGATTAGTGTGTGGGCCATAAATGTTGATAAGCGTGTGCGGTTCATTGTTTATATAGCATTGGAGTAGCAAATATCTCCCATTTTTGTCCCCTGTTTTCTTGAGTAATGAGAAGGCTACTCCTTTCCCTATCAAAATGGACACTCCACACTTCTTTTTCTTGTAGCAGGAATGGAAATCATGGGGGAATGCATTAGAGCAGAATTTGGGACGTGCGCCCCATTTGAAATGGGTCTCTTGGTAGAAGGCGATTTGGGCTTTGTGTTTTTTTGCTTCTTCAAGTGCCAGTCTACGCTTATGTGGTGAATTGAGGCCTTTCGTGTTCAGGGATAGAATCTTGAGTGTCATGGTGGGAGGGGAGCGGTTGCTGTTTCAGCTAGCGGTGGGACTAGGTTCACCAATTGAAGGGGTTTAGCGCTCTTGTTAGTGTGTCCTGCTTGGGTAGTGTGCGTTTGCAGATGTGGCGTGGGAACCATGCCTCTCGGAATGTCAACAGTACTTGTTACTAACGCGTTATATGGTCGTGGTGCCTTCC